TATGGCAAGTTTTTTTTAATCAAACATTATTTCTTTGGTTGAACATCTTCCAACGCTTTTTCTCGCGTGAATCTACGTTTTCTTACTTTAACTTCTCGTCAAATGGAGGGAGCAAGCGATGTGGTGTAGAGCATATTTTGAGATCTTTCGAGTTCAGCAATTATCGGAATTCTGTGGAACAGAACCTTACTGTTCCTGTTTCTCAGAATGAGTTCCATACTTTCTAAAATTCTATGTATTTAGGACTTCCTGTGCAAGTTCGTGATGCAGCTCTTCAAATAGCCGATAATATCCCTCGCCAAGGAGCCAACAGGGATTTTTACCTGCAGAATGCTGAGCGGTGTGTCTCATTGCTGTACCTTAAACTTGTCGTAACATTTTGGAGGAACTTTTCAGAGCTCTTGCGAACACTGACGGCACGACACCAATAGGAGCACTGGCTAACATTGGTGACACCGCTGGAACAGAAATGTTAAAGCGGCTTGCGCGGACGGCACCATATTACAAGCGAAATGCACCTCACATTTGTTCATTCTATGTGAAGGGTGAATGTAAGAGAGGAGAAGAGTGCCCATATCGGTAAGGATTTTTGTTTTAGCCCTTATTAATGCTCTCATTTTTGAGTGAAGCTCAGTTCTCTAGATTGTTATGGGAAGTGCTCATGTGGTTCAAATTTTAGCCACGAGAAACCATCTGATCCTGATGACCCATTGTCTACTCAAAATATCAGAGATCGATATTATGGAAGCAATGATCCTGTAGCAGAGAAGATTCTCAACAGAGCCAAGGTAACTTTCTTTTAATGAAGATATTTCCTCCTTAGGTAGTGTTAGTTGTGTTCCGAAGTTGTTATTTTTTTTTCGTGGCAGAAAGCGAAAGATTTCGTGCTACTTCTACAGATTTGAATTAATACTTTTCTATGGATTGACATGTTTTGATTACGGTATTTATAGGCCATGCCAGCGCTAGAACCTCCCGCAGATACTACGATAACTACGTTATACGTGGGTAATCTTGGACCAGCCGGACAAATAACGCAGAAAGATTTGAAGTTTGTTCGAATAACACTGCTACAATATCTGTTTCTGAGCTTCGAAACCCTTATTTCAACCATTTTCAGTGACTACTTTTATCAGTTTGGCGACATCCGAAGTTTACGCTTATTGGAGGCGAAGTCTTGTGCGTTTATACAGTTTACCACTCGAGAATCATGTGAGATGGCTGCTGAAAGATCTTTCAATAAATTATTCCTGAAGGTGAGCTCTGGCAGTGACTCCTCGTACTCCTCGAAAAATCGCTTGGCTTTTTCGCAACTACCTTGAGTCTTTCATGACAAGTTTTTTTAACTCCATAAACAAAACAAAAATCATCCTAGCTAGATATTTCTAATTCAGGGCCGTCGTCTCGTTATTCGATGGGGTCAGCCACAAGCCCAAAAAGCGGATGATCAGCGAACTATCAACCCAGTACCTTCGTTACCGAACCGTATGTTAATGCATGAAATTTAGCCATAAATACTCACTTGTCCAGATCAACAGATTTAATATTATGCTTCCAGCATGCCCGGTTCCTGATGATTTGGCTCCATCCAGCTCTAAACGTCAACGTATTGATCCACTCAACATACCTCTTCCACCCTTACCACCTAGCTTTGCTCCTCCATCGAAGCTTGTTGTTCCTCCATCACGGCCTCCAGCAGGTATGTTTTCCACCAGAAAGACAAAGCTGTGCCAGATTAACTGTACGTTACCTATTTTGTGTGCAGCAGAAAAAAAGGAATCCGTAGATGTATTTTGCATAATTTTTCCACGAAACCGGCCAAATCGTTTTTTCAACCATATCTAATCAATTGTAGGTGCATCTACATCTACACCAGGATCTAGCACTGACAGCAGTGCTGGCAGCTCCGGTCGAACAGGTGGCATATACTATCCGAGTCAAGATCCACAACGTTTAGGAGCGAAAGGAGACGTAATTGAAGAGTAGTATACTTTCGGCATTCTTGGACGTGTATAACACAGTGACCCCATTAATTTAAAAAATACTTCAAATGACTAGTTTTTTGTTTTGAAAAATTGTCACCTCGCTTTCTGTGTCACGGTTTTGTTTCCTTGTTGTTGAGTATCTCACGTTCACTATTGCGATTCTATACATATTTCTTTCCATTGGAACTTGTTAATTGTTCGCGCCATTCATTCCAATGGGTGGGATTCATAGATCATTTCCAACGAGGACATTGAAGCACAGCCTTTCCTATCATGAAGCCAGACACGTATTTTTGAGAAGGCAACTTTACAGTAACTGTAGACTTGTAGAAAAAAGAAATATGTATGGAAGTGGTGTATACATGGATAAATAAACATTCAGTCGGTCAACAACTTTCACAACGGCACAACTTGAAGGGGTGTTATCCCTTCGCGATTCCTAGCGAGACTTGACAGTGAACATGTTGATGATGAAGTCCGATTCCAGTAGTTTCCAGTTAGCTAGAATTCGTAGCTATGTGTTTTAAATTGAAGAGCACAGATTATGATGGTGATGACGATGATGATATCTCTGGTTCTCATGTGCGCAGATATTTTCTAATTCTTTCACATAAAACTGCTCCTGCATTAGCTGGAACATTTGTGATTTTTCTCTTTTTTCTCGATTTGTTTTTCAGATGGTGTATCCTGCATCTGTTTTCATTACGGGGGCAAACAGAGGTATTGGGCTTGGTTTTGTTCGTGAATTTTTGAAGATTCAATCTGTGAAGTTTGTGATTGCTGGTGCCAGGAATCCAGATAATGCAGAGGTAAATTTTTTTGTGAAAACCTAGGGATCCTAGCAGGTAGAATTTGTAGTTTTCTGGAAGCAGTGTTCGCACGCGCTTGGTGTCCAACATTTGAAATAGGCCGATAGCGTCTCCTACAGCTTCGATTATCGTTGCATGTATCGTTGCAGATCTTCTGTAGTACTCACTCTATGTAAATTTGAAATTCTCTGGATAGAAGAACCATATGTATGATCCACATATTGCCGTCTAAG